TTAGTATTCTGGAAATTAAAGGAAAAAAGTGTACCTTGTGAGACTTGCTGGGGGCCAGGATCTCAAGCTTTGTGAAGTATACAAAAGATGTGTCTAGCGCGCGCGCTGGCGCGCGCTCTCTCTCTCTCTCTCTCCCTCTCTCTCTCTCTCATATTGCTTTCAGACTGGCTAAGCACACTGTTTAATAAATACCTGCTAGGTGCCAACCAGTCTTCTCAGCTTGGAGGATTCAAAGGTGAGTAAGAGGAAGTCTCAACTTAATTGTGATTTTTAGTCTAGTGGGCAGGGTGAAGATTATAGAAATTGAAGAGAAACTTCACAGGAAAAAGTAACAAACTTGGTATTTCTTCTTGGGTCACAATATGAACAATACTATATAGCACACTTAAGTAATCATGAAATTATTGACTCATTGAAGAAATTCAGAGTAGTCTTAAGAGGAGGAAAAAACTGTATATTGTTTGTCCTTTCTCAGTGTTGACTCTGGTTAATCAGAGTGTGAAAACCAGATGTTAAAGAAACCAGGTTTTTGGAGTGTACATGGCTCTTTTGTTAACTCTCAGGTTTCCTGTAGTGAGCTTCTTAATGTTTCCAACCTCCTCCTCCTCGGTCCTGCCTAACTTCTCAGGGTTACCCCAAGCTGTATCTAGAATCACGCACTCAATATACTGTATACGTGTTGTGAAAAGCAGAATCCTCTGTAACTATATAAAGGCAGTGCTAAGCATTTCTGAGTTTGAGCAACTCCCTCCAAACATTTCTACCTAGTTGTCCAATAGTCAACTCCAACAGCGCTCCCAGCCTTGCCCTCGCAAACCTGACTCTCCTTCAGTGCTCCTTGTTGTGGCTTATGGGATCTCTGCCCAGGAATCACTCAAACTCAGAGTCCCTGCCCGAGGCGCCCCAGCTCCTTCGCCCCTGTTACTGCCCGCCTGTAACCCATCACAGAGTTATGTGGGCTCTGCCTCCTGGTAGCCGGGCGTCCCTGCTTTCCTCCCCTTACTTACTGCCATTGCCTGGGTTCACAGCCACATGACCCCTTGTCAGAATCCTTGCGGCCGTCGCCCAGCTAGCCCCCTGTCTCCACCCATTTGTCACTCTGCGATTAGTGTCTTTGTGAAAATCACCCTCAATTCAGCACTTCTCACTCCCCACTTCAAACTGCTCAGGATAAATCCAAGCTCCTACCTCTGGCATATAAGCATCTTTTCTAATTTGGTCTCTAAGAACCTTTTTAGTGTCATTTCCTACATGTCCCCTGAACCACTCTGAGCTTCAGCCACAGTGAATTCCTTTCTGTTTCCTAAATCAGTACTTTTTAAAAAAAATTTATGCTTGGAACTCTACTTTACTTTATCTACAGGAAACTCTCCTACTTATCTTTTAAAAGAACAAATAAAAATACCACTTTCTCCCCGAAACGTCTCCAGCTCCTGGCCTAACCACCGCCGCCTCCGCAGCACCCTGTGGGGCCGCTGACTATCGTTACTGGATTACAATTCATCCACTCAACCCCTTCCACCCACCGTGTTATAGTGAAACTCTCTTGAGGAGACCCTCTGCCCCCTTCCTGAACTTTGAAGTGACTGTGGTTGGTGTCTCACCAATGGTTGCTGGTGGAATAGATAATGGAAGGAAGGAGCAACCTAAATTGGAACTTTTGTCTGCAAACCTTACAGCAAGATAGTCGAATCAGTCGGCCCAGATATTAGTACAGTACACACATAGATTATATATCACAGGACATGAATTTAGGGGGTGTAAGTAAATTCAGTATACAAGTCATCCCCAATTTTTCTGTATAGACTGACCTGCGTCTACCAGGTCAGTTAGATGGTGGGTGGGGATGGGCGTCTTAGAAGCCGGCCATACACAGCCTGCTGTCCCAGGGCTAAGAGAGCTGGCAGGTGACAAATGACCCAGCGCCATGCCTGGAAAAGCTCCATAATGTCCGCCGTGATTTTCTCCAGGGTTGGGGATTAAGGGTCTTTTGCATCTCTTTTGCTGTTAGTATTTTCTAAGGCTTCCACAGTGAACATGTGTGACTTGTTAATAGGAGGATGGCGCTCTGTCACTTCCTTCTGTCCATGACCTGGTGCAGGCCCCAGGGACAGGGTGGGTGGCCCTGTCTGGCCAGACCCCTTAGCACAGTGCTGCAGGTTCTTTACACGTGGACTTCTGATCCCCTTTCTGTCCTGCCTCGTGCGCCCTGTACATCAATCACACTAACTTGTTTTTGGCTACTTATTTATGTAGCAAACACAGATATCATACTATAGGCCAGACACTCTTCTAAGCATTTTGCAAATACTCATTTAATTCTCATAGCTCTGTAACGATATGTATGAAGTAGATACTATTATTATTTCCATTTTACAGAGGAGGCAACTGCGGTCATTCTGGAATATGCTTTTCTTCATGTGTGCTGTTCATTGAGAATTTCATACATCAGAATTTCTCTGCCCACTTGGTCATTTAAGCCTCGATTCCTCTGTATTCTCTTGGCATCTTTTTAATATACAATACTTACTATATTATTCAGGGTGGGCCAAAAGTAGGTTTTCAGTTGTTTGTATGGAAAATAATAGAATAATTAATAAATAATACTACAAGAATAAACTGTGTTTCATGCACTAATAACTGTAAACCTATTTTTGCCCCACCCTGTATATGAAATATGGTGTTCGTCTCCCCCACTGGTAAACGTAGGAAAGTTGCTTAATTTTAGTTTCTTCCATCTGTAAAATGTGTCTAGTAATGCTTACCTCGCAGAGTGGCTGTGAGGATTAAGTGACACATTATTCGGGCTATCTGTTTAGAACACGAGCTTCCCCGAGCTGGACTTTGTATATTCCTTGACACAGTTACTAACACAGGACAGCTGTTGTTCGGTGGGAAACTGAGGGGAAGGGAGAGAAGGAAAACCAGGATGGCCCAAAGTCAAGGCCACTATGAGAGAAGAGAGTGTCGGCACTCCCAAATGCCTCATAAAGGTTTGAGCAGATGACAGCTGAGCAAAGACAGTTGGGTTTGTTCATTGGTGATGTTTCTGCGAACTGTTTCAGCAGGCTGTGGTGATGTGGGAGGTACATAGCAAGTGGTTAAGGAAGGGTGGGTGGGAAGGAAATGAAAGCTGAGGGTGCCGTCATGTTTTCTTTCGACGGGAAGAGTCGAGCCAGGGCAGCAGCAGGGCCAGAAGAATGGTTCTTGGTGCGGATAGCGGAGAATGGGACTATGGGCAGGAGCGGGGATGCCTTAGGAGAGCAAGACTAGGGAGAATGTCCCTCTCCCTCTCCTGGCTAAAGCTCAGTCCACTCTCCGTATCCTCGTTGCCTCTTTGGGAACTTGGCTCCATTAAGTCTGTCCCCTGCTCGCAGCGGGGGCATCCTAGAGTCCAGTTGGCTTTGGGGTCAGTTGGGGTCTTTGGGTAATGTATTTAAATTGTCTGAGCTGCAGTTTCCTCATCTGTAAAATGAGGGGAATCTCATGAACATAAAATGAAATGACTTTTGTTAAGTGTCAACTATAGTATCTGAACTGTTGTATCCTTTCAACCTTCTCTTAGAGACAGGATGAAAGAGAAGAGAAAAGGGTACCTAAATCTTAGAGTGCTTTTGACCCGCAGAAGGGAGAATTTTGGGGTGCGCCTGTGGAATGGGGGCCCTCTCTCCCTAAAGTAGTGGGACACTTGCCCCCTGGGGTGAGGGGAATGGGAAGGGTTTAGAGTCCCAGGAAGGCCACCAGGTTCTTTCCACTAGATACACAAAAGGACTGAGATGTAGCAGTGAAGGTCTGGCTAAGCAGCAAGAAGACAGTCTTGTTTTTTGACCTTCTGCAGCCAGGTGTGCAGGATCAGGGAAAGGTAGCAGAACTGGGGGCTGACAAAATCTCAAGGGATATATGGGATTAGTGTGGAGGGGGAGGAAGAGGAGGAGAGGAGAGGGAAAGAGGGGAGATACACTGGTGAAACGGCCTCCAGGGTAGTCTGGTCAGATGGGAGCTGGTGGCCTGGGACAGTTGGCAGGTCTGAAAGTCCTGTGGTGACAGTGGAGCAGGGTAGGGGCCCGAAGATCGTGACCAGAGGGGTATTTCATAGTATTAGGTGAAGCAGTTTTAAATGATTGGGGTGAGGGAATGGCCACGTAACCCCAAATACTACACTTTTTCTTCTCTTCTTTATCTTGAATACCTATCCCCGACCCCCAAGTGGCTTTCGTCTTTATATAGTTTTTTTTGTGTGGCATGTATCAATTAATATTGTTCAGCAAACATTTTTTTTTTTTTTACTTCTACACTGTGTTTGTAATATTTTTAATGGATGCAATATATCAAGTTATCTTTACGCCTATACCTTTGTATTCTTTTAGATTTCTATTCCTGGGATAAATTTTCAACTGTGAGGTCACTCCCGGTGGAGTAATCTCAGTTGGTGTGAATGGGTCGGGGGATGTCTCGATGTGTCCTCCGTTGTTCGGTGTAGGGAGGTTTGCGGTGCACAGGGAGGGAAGGCAAGAGGGAAGAAAGCAGAACATTCCGTAAGAGCCTGAGTGGAGGCTTTATGTGAATGTGCCAAGGCCACCTTGTGTCCCCTTAGGTTCTGTGTGCTGGAGGGGAAAAGGAGACTGCGGGGAGTTTGCGTCGGTGGCTGAGTACATGGAGTTGTGCTTGGTTTGGCTTTGATACTGTCTTTTGGGGGGCCGTCGTCAAGAAGTTAAAGAAGTTAAGGTGTGTGTCTAACGTGACAATAAAAGCGAGTCCATATCTCTGTCCCAGAGCTTTGTGGGGGGGGTGGGCAAGGAGAGAACAATTTCATCTTTAGAAATTAAAGCGCTTAATTATTTTGATTATAATCCTCACAGTATTGGCATTTTGAACAATTTTAACAAAAAGAAGAGACATGGTTTACAGTAATTATTAAGGAAGCAAATGTTACCATTAATAACACTTTCTTATATCTTATGATTGTAATGGTTCTCCTTTTTTTTTTTTTCTTTTAACAGAAAAAATACAGAAAGGGATTTATTGATGTTTCAAAAATAAAGTGTGTGGAAATAGTGAAGAATGATGACGGTGTCATTCCCTGTCAAAATAAATACCCATTTCAGGTGAGCTGGCGTGTTCTCCCGGCAGTGTAATTCTGGCTTTCAGTCACGCTTACTCTTTGGCATTACCGTTCCCTGTCATTGCTTTAGTGGCTGATTTTTTAAAAAATCAGCTTTATTGAGGTATGTAATTGATACATAGGAATTATATATATTTAAAGTGTAAAACTTTGATATACATATGTGTATAGGTATACACATATACCTATACACATATGTATATGTTTTGATATACATATACATTGTGAAACGATCACGACACACTCAAGCAATTAACATATCCATCACTTCACAAAGTCCCCATTTCCTTTTTTTCTTTTTTCTTTTTTGTGGTGAAAACACTTACTATGTACTTTCCTAGCAAATTTCAAGTATATAGCACAGTATCATTAACTGCAGTCTCCCTGCGGCGCATTAGATCTCCAGAACTCTCATCTTGCGTAACTGCACCCCTTGTACTGACACCAGAACGGCACCAGGTGTTGGACGGGCGGAGGCGTGGAGGCAGGCCAGACCTCGGTTCCGCACCCGCCGCGCTGTGAGTTCTGGCTGAGAGAGAATTCAGGGCTAAGACTGAAACTATACGAAAAAGTTTATTTAGAAAGTCCCAGAGGTAGAAGAAGTGAGCCCCGCAGGAGAAACAGGCTCAGGAAACAAGTTACTGAGGCAAAAGAAGGGCCCTTGGAGCTTAGGAGAAAGAGACAGGCAAGGAAACCATGCATGTTGGGGGAAGGCGCAGGGGACAGGTGGGGGGAAGGAGAGGGCGCACTCCCCAGAGTCACTGGGTCCTCTCTCTTGAGGGTGTTTATCCAGAGGTGTCACAGGAGGATTCCAATAGAATATTCATCAGCTTACCAGGCTATCCTTGCTGGGGGCTGTGGTCTCTGATTGGTTGGCATCAGAACAGAATGTCATTTGTCAGTGTAGCAGGTCCTGAGGTCAGCCATCGTGTCATTTGTCTGGTTTTGCTGCTTTTCTGGGCCTGGAGCTAAAATAGAACTGAGGCCTAGATGGATTTGGTGTGGGTCAGAACCACACTGTCTTGAGGGCTTAATGCTTAAGGGCTATTCTCTGGTCCCCTTGTTCTTCCTTAGGGGGTCTAACCTGCATGACGAACAACACGCCAGGGGAGCAAGGTTAGGGGAGAGTCTGAACTGCATGGCCCCTGTTAGGAAAGGTCAGGTGGACTAACTCACATGCCCGGAGACAGGATGGGGGAGGGAGAATCACCCTGGGGGCAAGGTCCTTGTTTTCCTAGTTTTGCCTGTAGCCCTGCACCAGGGCTTTCCTGGCCTATTGTCCTTTCTCTGTTAATGTCTGTCTAGCTGCCTGTCACAGTACCCCTTGCCCCACATTTCCCTGTTTTCCCAGCCCCTGACTACCATTGTTCTGTTCTCTGCTACTACGAGTTTGACTGTTTTAAATTCCGCGTATCAGTGAGGCTGTGCAGTATTGATCTTTCTGTATCTGGCTTATTTCACTTAGCATAATGTCCCCTAGGTTCGTCCATGTCCTAGGAATAACAGGATTTCCTTCTTTTCTTTTGAAACTGAACAATATTCCATTATATGTAGACACAACACATTTTCTTTATCCATTCATCTGTCAGTGGGCATTTAGGTTGTTTTCATATGTTGACTATTGGAAATGCTGCTGCAATGAACACAGCAGTGCAGAGATATCTTCAAGAGCCAGATTTCATTTCCTTCAGATAAATACCCAGAAGTGGGATTGCCAAATCATACAGTAGTTGTTATTTAGGTTCATTTGTCTTAACAATAATTGCTTTTCTTCATGAACTGTTTAAGTCTTCTTTGAAACAGTGTCTTATCCTTGTTTTTGGTCTGTTAGGCTCTACCCATGCGCTGAGTTTCTAAGCCCCAGACCTAACTTGCTATTTATTCAGATTTATCCCAGAGCAGTTAGGAGAAGGAGAGGAGACTTGAGATTGAATTGTACATGTGAAATCTGTATGGTTTTGTGAACCAATGTCACCCCAATAAAATTAACTACTAAAAAAAGAGAGAAAAAGAAAAAAAGTGGGGTGAGATGTTCTCTCTGAATTTGAGAGGCTGAGAAGGGGCAGGATTGAGCCATTTGAACAGCAATGAGATGAAAAGGCTGCTTGTGAAGCAAAATATAATATCAACATTGTACGTAGATTAAGGCGCACCTTTTAAAAAGGTTATTTCATGTTTTCCTTCACAATGATCCTATTATATAAGGGAGGTAAATACACTGTTCTCATTTATGACAGGAAACTGAGGTTCGCAGATGTTCAATGACTTGTCTAAGGCCATTTTGTGAATGAAAAACCTCTGTGGAACACACACTCACATCTTGCCACTCCCCAGGGGGATCAGAGTGGCTCCTGAGCTGTCCGTGGCCCTCTCTGCAGGCACGTGGTGCGCACATGCCTTGAGCAGGAGGAGGGCAGAGCTGGACCTCGTGTTCCAGGCCTTGCAGAAGACAGCTCAGGAGCCCTGTCCAGCACCTCCCCACCCCTTCTCTGGTTGGGGACAATCTTGTCCTTGGACGTGTCCAGTGCAAGTCACCTTTTACCCATGGCCATGGCCTCGCTGTATAGTAAGGGAAAGGTTGCAAAAATCTTCTCCACATAATATCACAGTGGAGATCTTGGTTGTTTTTAATTGCTACTATAAATTTATCAATTGCATTTGAAATAAAAATTTGCCAGTGAATGACCTGAGAGTAATAAACTAAGATATTCAAGTTTTACAACCACATCTGGATTATTTTCACTGTAGTGGCAACAACACAATAGGAGGAAAGACTACATTTAATTTTCCTTTTCCCAATTCCTCATTTTCTATCTAGACTTTTTATTATTTTTTTAAATTTTTGCACAAAGAGCAAGGATAGTATGGTGCTTAAAGAGGCAACTCTGGAGCCACGCTGCCTCATCCATCCCTGATGGGCTCTGTGACCCTGTGCAAGACACTTAACTGCTTTGTGTCTGTGTCCTCTTCTGAAAAATAGGAATAATAATAATAATAATACTCACATCCTAGGGCTGTTGGGAGGAATAACTAAGGTGATATATAAATAGTTTAGATACACAGTGAGAGCAAGGTGAATATTAGTTGCTATTATTATTATTACTGCTCTCACTACTAGTAACACTACACCTACCTCAGATCTAGAAGTAAGCCTGATTTAAATCTCGTTCTTGACTAAGTATGTTAAGTAAGTGTGTGATATTATTGGAAGTTTAGCAGAAAACCATTCCTACCACACTTCTGATGGCTATTAGACATCTGGGCGGTGGCAGGTGGTTGTGGGGAGCTACGGTTCTCATGAGTGTAGACCAAGAATTAGAGTTTTTGCTGTCCAAGAGAAAGAGATCTGATCCAGCAGCTGTGGGTTGGTTTTTAGAATGATGAGGAAAATAGGAGAACAGAAAGCATTCCGTCCCAGAACCATTTTTAGTTGTTGAGATGAATAAATACAAGGACAGGTCAAAAACCATCTTAAACATTTAGAAGAGGTCAACTTGGGCTTTAACTATGTAATTTAAACCAGCAAGATTTGAAAGATGAAAAACATTCTCTAATTATAACTTAAGTATAACTCAAAGTTTGGGTCCTAGTTTCACATGATTAGAGTGAGAGTTTGTATTATGTGCAGATGCAAGTCAAAAAAAAAAAAAAAGGAAGAAACGAAAAGTTGACATTTTCAAAGGAGGTAGCCTCTCATCTCAGCATATTCTAGCGTAGGAAGGAACAGAGAATATGGAAGGAAGAGCCAGCTGCTTCCTTAGCTGAGTCTTCTGATGCAGCTGGGGGTTCCCCAGGAGGTGGCCTTTTCCCCTTGAGTTTTGAACCCACATCTGTCTAACAGCTTTTAGACACAGTAAGAGTCTCCCGAATAAATGAATGAAGATATAGATAGGATGGCGGGTAACGACCAAGTTAGGAGTGTTGCTAAGGGAGAGTGTGTTTCTTCCTTGTTGAAATGGCTCCTGTGCCTCGAGGTCTGCAAAGCTCTTCCTTCCTCTGCCAAGCTCTGCTGTACTAGGATGACTCAAGAGCAGACAGGCACGTGAGCAACTCCCTGCAGGTACTCTGTCACAGTCAGCTGTCACATGGATGACACAGGTGTGCTCCGGGGCTTGCTGAGCAAAGGATACTGAACCCCAGAGAGCTCACCCACTGCCTTGCCTGAGATGCCAAATTCATGTTTATTATTTGGGTTGAGGATGCTATCTCTAGAAATTTTTTCTAGAGATACAAATGTCCCAAGTTAGCTAGGTAATAGATCTCGCCTTAGTTTTCAGAACTCTGCGTTAGGATTAGTTTTCTAATGATTAGCTAGTCTTCAACAAACTTGAACAAAGTTACAGGCTCCCAGTACTGACGTGAGGTGAATTTTGAGAATTAGCCTGGAGCCTGAAAGGGCAGCTTCTAGTGTGGAAACAGCCAAGCGGCACCAGGAAGGTGTTTGTAGGAACCATGAATAAGAAGAGCCTTTGGGGGTCAACCAGATCCTACTCAGATGAATTGATCTCACCTGCTTTGGTTTTCTCATCTGGAAAACGAGAGAGAGAGAGAGAGAGAGAGAGAGAACACACCACCAAACAATATACCAACACCAACTGGGTGTTCTACAACTCATTTCTGTTCTAGGACCATCTAACCAAAGATGGCACCAATTCCATAGGTTAAAGGCTCAGCCCCGCAAGACTGCCCCCATGTCAGGTGCCAGACTCAACTCCAAGATATCACTTGTGCTTCTGACCTACTGGCTATAGATCACAGCTTCCCAGTCTCTTCCTTGGGTTTGAATGATTAGCTAGAGTAGATCACAGAACTCAGAGAAATAGTCTGCTTCCTAGATCACCAGTTTCTTATAAAACCACAAACTCAGAAACAGCCAGGGTGAAGAGGTGCATAGGACAAGGTGTGGAGAAAGAGTGCGAAGCTTCCGGGCCCTCTCCAGGTGCCCTGCTCTCCGCAGACCTCCACATTCAGGAACCCGGGGGCGCTCCGAACCATCTCCTTTTAGGGTTTGGACGGAGGCTTCATTACAGAGGCATGATCGATGACATCACTGGCCGTGGGTGATTGAGCTCAGTCTCTCACCCCTGTCTCCTCCCTGGAGGGGGTGAGGTGGGGTGGGGTGGGGGGACTGGAAGTTTCAACCCCCTAATCATAAGGTTGGCTCCACTGGCAGCCGGCCCCCAACCTTAGGTGCTTTCCAAAGTCCCTCATTAGCACAAAAAAAGACACCTTTATCACTAAGCACAGGGTATTCCAAGGGCTTTAGGATTTATGTACCAGGAACCAGGTTGAAAACCAAACAGGTATTTCTTTCCTTGTTATTAATCGCAGTGTCATGGCTGTGAAAATCAGGGAGCAAAGGGGACAATATACATCCCCACGACTCTCTTAGCGTTTTGTCTTTACCTCTCTATCATGTCTCACTTTGTCTTTTTATAAAGTATTTCTATACATGTCTTGAAAATGGGCTTCATGTTTGATATATTTTTGTATCTATGTGGTCCGAGCAAAATGCTGGTATGATGAATGAATCGCTGAATGAAATATAACACTGTTTGTTCTGTAGTGTCCATGTTGCTGTTAGACTGCATTGATTTGATTGAAATGAATGGGGAGGAATTATCTATTGAAGATGGCCAGGAGTAGCCATTTATCAATGAGAGTTATTTGCATTCAGTCCAGTGGCTGTTGGTCTGGCAAAGGGAGGTTTCTAGCCATATACAGTTTTCAGACAGTCAAGGTGTTTCTGTGTTGTGAAAGACCAAAGATAAAATTCTTGGGTTAGTTTCCCAGGTTTAATTTTATTATTAATACTGAAAATATGAATAATAAGACTGTTTAGTTGCTCGGTGGAAGTTACCTCTACAGGATGCACTGTGGTTAAATGCATGGGCTTTGAAATCAGGATCGTGGCTTTCTGGAAATCCAGCCAAATGATGATTAAGGCAGGTTAAGTAGCACACCGTAAGGGCACACTGTCTGCGGTGCATCCTCTGTGAATGGTGCCCCCTGGAGTTATACAGGCGCGGAGGCTCCGTGGATAGGCCTTCTTCTTCACCTCTGTAGAATACTGATGCCTTGATGGTAGGAATCCTCGAGTTAAGGTCTATAAAGCACATAGTGTAGAGTTAGGGTAGCCAGTGCCTAATAGTTAGCTACTGCAATTATTTATAGTAGCAAAGGAAGGTATATGAGTGTTGCTGAATGAGTTGTTGATTTATCTAAATATTATGCAGGAAAATACTAGATGAGAATAACCCCTGCTACACCAAGTTTACCTAAGGAGCTTCAGCTCATTTGGTCGCAGGGAATATGGATTAGTGAAGCGTTCTGGCCTCTGTATAATTTTTTCTTCTGTAAAACACAGCCCTCTGCAAAATGTGTATCCTACTCAGTGTAGGCATGAAGAAATAGATGTGTTTTATAAGGCAGGAATCTAGGTTTTTTGGGTCCAAAGTAAATGACTTTTATTCAGTTGTTTCAGAATCATTTATTGGTGTGTGTGGTACCGGGAGCTCTGTGCTAGACAAAGTGCTGTGTCTAAGTGTTTCTCATTGATTCCATCTTATCTTTTATTTTAGGTGGTTCATGATGCTAACACACTCTACATTTTTGCACCTAGTGCACAAAGCAGGGACCGGTGGGTGAAGAAGTTAAAAGAAGGTAAAACTCCTCTAATGAAATATTAATCTGTATATAATTTTAAGATAGAACATTGTTATCACTTAAACAGAAACACAGCTAATGTATCTTGCATTTATAATCTTTTAATATACAATAACTGTTTCTCCAAAGACATTCTGTTATGCCAAGTGGTACATATTGAAGACAACTTCTTTTTTTATAATCTGATTCCTTCTAGTGATGTTTACATGGTTTCTAAGAAAAGCGGGCTTTCATTTAATGCATGATACCTTTGCAGATGATAAAGCACTGGGCTTTTATGATAACAGGATTTGGTATTTTCTAAGAAATTGCCTGTGTAGTCAGCATTTGGTGTAGATGAGTTGACTTGTGCTTAAAGTGTTGAACGGGGTGATTTGTCCAGCATAATCCTCATTGCTTCTTCTGCAGAACAAAATGGTGGTGGGCTGATTTCTGTGCTGATCCATTACAGCGCAGCAGAGATGACTTCTGCTAACAAGTGTGCTTCGCCAAAAAAGGAGGCCAAAGGGCACCACATGGGTTTTCTGAATGCTGGGTTGTATGATGTTAGGAGGGTGTTCTTGTCATAAATATGGTATCTGAGAAACGAAGATTGACAGTGTTACTTATGAAATGTTATCTCTGCTTTATTTCACTAATCATTTAATGTGTTTATGATTCCAGAAATCAAGAACAATAATAATATAATGATTAAATATCATCCTAAATTTTGGGCAGAGGGAAGTTACCAGTGTTGTAGACAAACTGAAAAACTAGCACCTGGATGTGAAAAATACAATCTTTTTGAGAGTAGTGAGTATTCATTTTATTCTGCAATTACACTGTTTTATTGCTATAGAGAAAGCGACACGATTTTGATGTTGATGTTGATGTTGGTTAAGCATGGCCCTCACACTTTCTAGCACAGTGTAAATACCGACAGGTGTATTTTGTGAGAATAATTATATTTAGTTAGCAGGTGGACCATTTCATTGGAATCAAAAAGTCTAATAAATTTTGGGAACCTTTTATCACAATGTAGAAGCCTGCTAAAAATGACTGTTAAAAAATATGGGCCTAATATAGCACCATCATCAGCTTTTTTTTTCAACTTTATTGAGGAATAATTGACATGAAATCGTAAGCTCTTCAAAGTGTACAATGTGATGATTTGGTATACTTGTGCATTGTAAAAGGATTCCTCCCACTGAGTTAACACTTTACACGTGTACCCTTTTTTGTGTATCAATGAGAATATTTCAGTGTTACTCCATAAAAAACTTTCATGTAAACACTGCATAGTTGCCAGTTATGGTCACCATGGTATACATTAGTTCCTCAGGCCTTGATCACCTTACAACTGAGTTTGTGCCCTCTTATCAACATCTCTGTTTTCCTACTCGCAGTCCCTGGCAACCACTTATCTACTCTTTGTTTCTTGACTTTTTTTTTTTTTTTAAGATTGCACATATAAGAGATACCATGTGGTTTTTGTCTTTCTCTGTCTGGCTTATTTCACTTAACATAGTACCCTCCAGATTCATCCATGTTGTTCAAATGACAAGGTTTCCTTCTTGTTTTAAGGCTGAATAGTATTCCATTCTCTATCTCTGTCTCTATCTCTATCTCTATGACTATCTATATCACACCTGCAACACACTTAGGTTGTTTCTGTACCTTGGCTATTGTGAAAAATGCTGCATCGAAGATGAGAGTGCAGCCATCTTTTTGAGGTACGGATTTCATTTCTTCTGTGTATATACCCAGAAGTGGGATTGCTGGGTCATAGAGTAGGTCTATTTTTATTTTCTGAGGAACCTCCGTCTTGTTTTCCATGGTGGCTTGTTTCCATTCCCACCAACAGTGCCCGAGGGTTCCTTTTCCCCATATCCTCACCAGCATTTGTTATTGCTTATGATTTTGATAACAGCCATTCTAATAGATATGAGGTGATATCTCATCATAGTTTTGATTTGCATTTCCATAATCATTAGTGATGTTGAGTACCTTTTTATATACCTATTGGCCGTTCGTATGTTTTCTTTGGAAAAATGTCTTCTGCTCCTTTGTCCATTTTAAATTATCATTATCATTATTATTTTATTATTGCTACTGAATTGTGTGAGTTCCTTGTACATTTTGGATATTAACCGCTTATTAGATAAGTGGTTTGCAAATATTTTCTCCCCTTCCATAGGCTGCCTTTTCATTTCGTTGACAGTTTCCTTTGCTGAGCAGAAGCTTTTTAGTTTGATGTAGTCTCACTTGTTTGCCAAGAATCAGACATGGCCCCAATCCCTATGGATTTTACAGTCTGTTCAGAAAGAAATACAAACCAACTTTAATAGCATTTTAAAATTCTGTTTCAAATGGTGATGCAAGCAACATGCACCAGAGTGAGAGAATCAGACTAGACTTCTTACCTATGTGTTCATTTTCACTTTTCCTTAAAACAGTTGATCATTGGTAGATGGCATTTTGACCTATTTCTGTTTTCATTTTCAGGTATAAGAAAAGCACTACCTCCAGCACCAGAAACAAAGAAGGTAGGTAGCCTTTAACTTTTGGAAGCATTTACAGTTTATTGAGTATGTTTATATTCATTCACATGATGCTGTTTGCTCCTTGCTTCTTCTCCATCATATCAGAAACAGATATGCTATAGCTTATTCAATTTCTTTTTGGTCTCAAGTAATATTAAATGTATCAAATATTATCATCGGGATCCCTACTATCATATGGCATTTTGCCTGTATTTTGGCTTCAAAAATTATATAAGAGGTGCAGGACTTCAAAGGAATATTTTAGTCTTAAAAACACAGTATTAGGACAGAAGGATTATTTCAGTCACAAAAACATAGTATTACGGCAGAGCACAGTATTCTTAAAAACACATATCATCACTGATTTAATGACGTGCCTTTGAAGAGTAGGGTCTGATGGAAAACACGGGTACTTTGGACCCAGACAGGACCTGATCCAACGTGAATCTGATATGAGTGACTTTGAGTGGGTTACTTAAACCCTCACCTCCTCAGTTGTGAATGAGGAGTTATGTGCTCTGCTTCGTGGGATCAGTATTAAGGGTTGCTGAGAAAGAGCATGTTAGGTACTAAGTGTGTGTCTTGCACACAGTGAGCACAAAGAAATGCAAATCCCTTTGAGTGGAAGGAGACCTGAGAAAAGCCTCCACTCCAAGGTGTGTTTTCCCCTTTGCAGGCTGTTTGAGTGGTGGGTCTCTCTTTAGTCCTTCTGGTTTCTGCTCACATATTCCCCTTCCCTCTCCCTGAAGAGCTACCCCTGACCCTCAGCATAAGCCTCTTGATGTTTAAAGACAGTTTTTCCTCATGTCCTATAGTCTGAAACCCATGAGAGGTCTAGTAGCATCAAACTCACAGGAGGCTTTACCAGATTGTTTTGGGTAGACTTGTGGTTTCTGCTTTAGTCTGTGGTGGTGTGTGAATCATTTGGTGTTTTGCTTTACACAAACAGAAGACTAAACTTTCACATGCTATCTCTTTTTCTTAGCGAAGGCCTCCCCCACCAATTCCACTGGAAGAAGAAGATAATAGTGAAGAAATCGTTGTAGCTATGTACGATTTCCAAGCAACTGAAGCACACGATCTCAGATTAGAGAGAGGCCAAGAGTATATCATATTAGAAAAGAATGATGCTCATTGGTGGAAAGCAAGAGATAAATATGGGTGAGTGTTCCCCTTGTGTGTGTGGCGCACAGTGGGCGGGAGGGAGAAGAGGATAATCTGGACCCCTCCTGAAGTGAGGCTGGTTCTATTGGCCATAAAGGAAAGGCCACATTATTACTTTGTAGTAACACAATGTATTCTTATTAGTGATGCAATAAATGTAAATGGATCAACCACTTCTTTTCAGAAATTAGAACACATTACACTAGTCTCTTTTCCTATCCATTGCATGTTTAGCTGGGTTGTTTTGATCTTGAGGAAAATTGCATTTTATGTTTTTACCCCCTAAGATAAGTAAATAATTTTAGGTTTTTCTGAGAGAGAGAGAGAGAGAGAGAGGCAGAGAGAGAGGCTATATGTGTATGCATGCGCACATGTACACATACAAGAAGTTAAAAAAACAAGCAATATTTATATAAGATAACATAGAATGTAAAGGAAATATTTCTTTCAGTGTTGTTAGTAGTAATGGATAAATATGAATAAGCATAAGGGATGAGGATCTTTTAGGTTCATGAAGAAAACTATATGCTGTGCTTACCTCTGAACTATAATCCTGTTTATATTCTGTGTTCTCATGGATCAGAAGAGGAGGATGTTTTATGCTGCCCGAGCACACCGTCCCTCCCAGTCTGCTTTCTCACCCCCTGCCCCATCCCCACACAGGCAGCGGCCTCTCCCCGGCTCCCTGCCCGGCAACGGTGCCTCGCCGGAGGGCTGGTTCTCTCCGCGTTAGTGCTCTCTTGGGAACCCTTACCCTGTTGTTCTCTGTTTACAGGAAGGTTGTCACTGCTTTTCTTTGTCAAGCACTGTCGGAGATTGATTTTTATTTTTTTTAAGATTGTATTTATTTACTTTTAGAGAGAGAGGAAGGGAGGGAGAAGGAGAGGGGGAGAAAAATCGATGTACGGGAGATACATTGATCGGTTCCCTCTCATGTGCCCCCAGCTGGGGACCTGGCCTGCAACCCAGGCATGTGCCCTGACTGGGAATGGAACCGGCAACCTTTCAGTTCGCAGGCCGACAGTCAATCCACTGAGCCACACCAGCCAGGGGTGATTTTTATTTTTTATTGTAGAAATTTCCAAGAGTCCACAGAATATGTAATAATATAATGAAGCCCCTTGTCACGATTTCAAAAACAACCAACATTTTGCCAGTTTTCATTTACCAGTCTTCCCCATTGTTTTTTTTTTCTAGAGTGTTTAAAAGGAAATTCGTATAATCAAGTCACCTCACCTCTAACTCTAACTGCTAAAGCTTTTAAAATAGTAATCACCATGACATTATCATCCTTAGTAATAATTTTTAAGAAATATCATCTGCAGACTTTCCCTAACATTTTCAGGACTGGAAAAAGAGTCCACGTGAAAACCCACATATCATGCATCTAAATATTTAGAAGTTATAAGTCAAGCTCACAAACCAATACATAAAATACGGTTTCTCTTCCAACTTGTCAAACATACCTGTGAGATGGCAGGGAAGGCAAGATTCGAGAGAGAGCCCCACGCTGGAGCATGACAGCGCGCTGAGGGCCGGCTCCCCGGGTTGCCTCCTTTTCCTGTTTCCTTCTGCCCCAGGCTCCATCTCACTTGCACCTTGTGGATCTCCCAGCCCTACATTCACGGTCCCTCCACATGGTTGGCAAAAGCCACCCCCCAAGGCCTGGGCTTGGAAGGGGGTGCACATGGCCAGCCTAGTTTGTTATCAGAGGGGGGAGCCCAGTGGAAAGACCTCTGTGGCCTTGGCAATGGCAGAGGACTCGGGGGTTCTGGTTACTCAGGTGATAGGGTAGTTGCTCAGGGGCCTGCAAGGACGTGGGGTTTGGCGCGCTCTTGAAAGTGCGTGGTCAGAGCAGGGCCCCTCTGGCCCAGGTCCAAAGATGGTACCAGTGATGTGATTTCAGTTTCCCCCGACCACCTCTAAGGTATATTTTAATACTTTAATGAAGATTAAAACAAGGCCCACACATTGTGTTTTGGTTGCTGTGTCTTTTATGTCTCTTTTCTTCTGCAACAGTCACTGTCCTTTTTTTTCAATTTTGATTTATTGATGTAACCAGGTCATTTACTGTATGAAGGGAGCCACCATCTAGATTAAGCTAATTGTTTCCACGAGGTGTCATTTATTATGTCTTCATGTCCTGTATTTCCTGTAAACTGGAATTTAGGGGCTTGATCACATTAGAAGTTGGTATCTGCTTGTCCCAGTTCTAACGACGTGCAGGTTCCTCAGTGGTTCGGGCGCCATCCTTATCCGTCCGTCATAAAGCTCTGCAACCAGGGTTTCTTTCACCTAAGGATTTTGGCTTCCATGAATAATTATTACCTAGATCCATTATTTCATTAGGAATTGCAAACTGGTGATTTTTAAATGGTCATTCCATCTGCATTTATTAATTTTTTAAAGAAGAACTGGCTCATCAGCCAGTTCATTTAGGTAATGCAAGAATGGCAAGATAAATTTTTGATTCTTTCACCAGTTTTCAAAATAATGAGTTAATGACTGAGCTTCTGCTAGTGATAACAATGGTAACCAATATGTTTTTCAGTGTTATTATGGATGCTTAGGTATTTGGTTTCAATCCATTGCAGTCATTATTATTTTTTGCTTGGTTTGCCCTATCTTGGGTCACTGGTAGCTGTTTTGGGTTGAAGGAGGCCCTTTAGTCTTTCTTAGCTTCCTTGCTTTCTGGGTAACATAAAATGGCTCAAGTTCATCTGAGAATTTTCCTGGCCAAACTTGCACTTTGCTGTTTTTTCCAAGGAATGCTAGCTCATCTTAGTAAGAAATAGTATTTGGAAGCAACAGTTGGGGTGCTAGGCTTCTAACTTCTACTAGTTTGTCACTGCTCTACTGGTCTGGAAATCTTCTTTCCCAGTGTAACAGAGCTACGTATGCCCTTCGTGTGGGTATGGAGGAGTTCTTGCTAATAGTTCAAATTCAAATGTAAGATTGCAAGGTTTTTACTCAGTTTTAAAATTTTATACATGTATCTTTTTTATGTGAAAAATCTCAGCTTCTGCCAAGATTCCCCTATTGTGAGTGCTTCTTTTTTTTCTTAAAGATTTTATGTATTTATTTTTAGAGAGAAGGGAAGGGAGAAAGAGAGGAAAAGAGATATCAGTGTGTGAGAAAAGCATCAATCAGCTGCTTCTCACATACCCCTAGTTGGGGCCTTGGCCCACAACCCAAGCACGTACCCTGACTGGGAATTGAACCGGTGACCTTTTGGTTCACAGGTTGGCGCTTAACCCACTGAGCCATACCAGTCAGGGCTGCTTCTTAAGGTGTAATGTGCATAGGAGTCATACGGGGTAAAATCAAAGATTTCTTGGCCTCACATTAGCCTTCTCAATTCAGATCTCTTGGGGTATGATCCAAGAATTTGCCTTTTTAACAAGTGCCCCAGGTTATATTGATGTAAAAGTCAAGAACTACCCACTATAAATAATGCTGTGCATGGACTGCTGAGGTGTTAGAGATGGGTGTTTTTATCCGACACTTCAACTTTTCTAAAGTAATTGTTTCTTTAAAATATCCCAAGAAATTCTGAATTTAAGAGAAGTATCATAGAATATTAGGAAGGGCTCTGAACCTAGTCACAAGTTCAGGGAAGACATCAAAGGCTAGCCCTGTGACTGGCTAGCTTTGGGGCCTTGAGAAAGTCTCTTGATCTTTCTTAAGCCTTGGATTCCCCATGGGGAACGTGTACAGTAATGCCTGCCTATGTTAGAATTTTTGTGAGGATCAAATGCGGAAGTACTTTTTAATGCATCAAATGCTGTAGATATATTGAATTACTGGCAGTCAGCTAGTCCTTCTTACAAGCTTAGGTAACATCATGCTTTAATTATTTCAAGAAGGCAATAATTTTTTTTTAGTAACCTCTCAGTAAGATACTTTGAGTTTACCTATTTTTCTTATTTCTAGGAGTGAAGGATATATCCCAAGTAATTATGTAACTGGAAAGAAATCAAACAACTTAGATCAATATGAGTAAGTAAATGCTTATTTTGTGAATGTGGAAAACCAAAAAATGTTTCATTTTCCTAATCATATAAGGAATTTTGGAGATTAGTGGATATTTTTCATTGTCTTTGAAGGTGGTACTAACATATCCTTAACTCAGTCGTCTAGGCTGTAAAAGATGTTGAGAGAACTAGTTTCTATAATGTGCTTTACCTGAAGGTATTATTGTGTAAATGGAGCAATACAAGCGATACAATTGAATTTATTTTAAACAAGTCATAGCTTAGCTGACTTTGAAATACAGATCATTGTTCACTTATTCAAGAAATCAGCATATAGTTTGACTTTTTCCTAAGTACAATAATATGTGATTAGTATTTTAAAATTGTTTGAAAATATTACAAAGTTAATAAGACAAATTACTCATAAATAAAATAGAATTGCTGTCTGTCAACATTAATAGATCTTCCTTCAATTTTTTAAAAAACAATCTTGCTGTATATACTGTTTTATATTCTGTTTATTCCACTTAATAGAACATTATGAGTCTATTTCCTCATGCCATTAAATATTCTTCAGAAACACTTTCATAACTGTGTTACATTTCATTCAGTCATAAACTCATCAAATATTTCCTGAGATCCTAGCAAGTTTCAGGTACTGTGCCATAAGGGATACAACCAGGCATGTGGCACATGGACGTGCAATAATTTATATAATTATTTTCTTATTTGTGTGGCGTTGTGTTGCGTAGACATCTTTGTATGTCAGAATAACTGGGATAACCCTCTTCCTGCTTATTGTCTTAATCTAAATCTCTAAAAATATGTACTGGGCTAAAGGCTAATTATGAACTTGCTAAGACTTCGAATCCATGCTGTAAAATTGCTTTCCAGGGAAAGCAGTGGGCTTACTAACTGTGTGTGGCCAGGTTCCAGTGAGAGGCTCGTGTGTATGACTCTTCTGTGGTCATTTTGAGGAGGTGTACTGATGTTGCCATTTACTTCTTTAAAAACACATGACTACCACCACCAGTGACAACAATGAAAAGCTGTTTCCTCTGTCCATGTCACTTCTTATGACATGAATAGACCTTGAAAATCTAGAAAACGGTGAATAGGTTCAAAAGTCACAGGCTTTAGTGGTGTGATCACTCAAGAGTGTTTATAAGTTGGTGAAGGTATACAAATATGTAAATAAAGTAATGTTTCTGTTTTTAAATGATATTTTTGGAAAATCTAGCCAAAAATGTCCTTAGAATTAGGGAAGATGCTGAAAGGTAAAAACTGGGACCCGTCTTCAAAGTGATCTGAGAACTAACTGATGATTTAGGGAGGGGTGTGCTTCGAAACCAGATAATCCTTGATCTAAATGCGAGAACTCCCTTGTGACTCACAGCATTACAAAGAAGGATTTTATGATGTTTATGAATCACTGGCCTGAGGTTTTTTTAGACCTATCTTAGTTTGGAAATTTTCTTCCTTCAGAGGGACTCTCCTCCTCCCGTGTGTGACTAAGTGAACTCGTTGTGTATGGTCTCCGGGGTGGGAGTCCCCTCAGCTGTCTGCTCAGAGGTCAGGGCTTCCACATGGCACTGGGCCATGGCCAGCTGGACGGGAAAGGGGAAACCTGTTCTCACTGTGCCAACCAGAGTTCCCCTTCTTCTTCTGCCGTCTTCCCACTCTGTGGTTTGTGCTGTTTTGTGCTATCATCTATCCTATAGCACATGTTAAATGTCCCAAGGTTAAAAAGCCTTTGCCAGCTGTTGAATCAAAAGTTCTCCTGCTCTTTTTTGGGGCCTGGGAGCCCAGGTAACACCCCATCAGCGGGGCTGGACTCAGGGTTGCCAGACCTGAGGCTCCTGGGCCTGCCCGCACCTTGCCCGGGGCTCTTGGTACCTTAGTTCTGACCTCCACACCCAGGTAACATTTTGGGAAGGAAATGATCAGAGCAACTGTGGTAGGAAAGAAAGGGGGATCGTTGTGATGGTCAATAAGGTGTTCTTGATGGAAAGATGTTAAAGGTAGGAGGTGACAGAGATGAAAGGGCCTTTAAACAGGAAAAAGTCTAGGATAGGGCTTTGGGTTGGTGACGTAGGTGGCAAGGGCCAAATGAGAGAGGACCAGCAAAGATTGATAGCTGGTTGGTTGGTTAGTTGGTTGGTTTCTATTTTTTCTTCATTTATATCTGTTGGTTTTTGGGATTTTTTTAAATGATTTATCCAACCCACTCTGCTCAAGAAACTTGGCCAAGATCCTTCCTTCACAGAAGGGACTGAGTCTTCCCCAAATCTGACATCACTGTCAAGTCCCGTTCCTCTGGAGTGGTTTGAAGTGACTAGGCAGTCGGTACACCTCATTCACATTGGGGTTTTGATGTCTAATAATGGAATGACAAGTTACTTGCAAATCCTGGGTATTCTTTCTAGCTGTGTAGTTCCGTTATCAAAGGGAACTACCCTCTAACAGACGCATGTCTCTGACTGCCTTGTGAGAGCTGTAGACGAGCTGGCGTCTGTGTGGCAGCACTCTCTGCTCCCCACATGGGCTTCTGCACATTTTGCCCGTGTGTGTGTGTGTGTGTGTGTGTGTGTGTGTGTGTGTGTGTGTGTGAGAGAGAGAGAGAGAGAGAGAGAGAGAGAGAGAGAGTAAGAGAGAGAGAGAGAGAGAGAGAGAGAGAGAGAGAGAGAGAGAGAGAGAGAGAGAAAGTGTGTGCGCGCGTGCGCACATCTCTTCCTGACAGGAGGGATTCAGGAGAGCCAGTCTTGCCTGGTGATAACATTTCTTAGAAGTGGGAGAGAAGCCACAAAGAATGGTTAGAAAATACCCATCACTAGTTGATTCATCTGTTTATTTGTTCATCACTCCTTCCGCCCTTCCGTGTTCATCATATCCTTAAAGCCCTGAGTTTGTATCCTAGGGAGAGAAAATGGCCTTTTTGGGGATTCTGCAAATGCCATAAAGAGCCTGCCCTCTGTCCAATGGGTTCTTTTTCTTTCCTTAGTTCCTTTATCCCTTCCCAGGAGCTTGACTGTGCTAGGTGAGGAAAGGACTTATTTCTGTCTCTGAGTATCTTATATCTCATTTCCTCTTGAGAACCGCACTTCAGCTTCACTGATTTCTTGCATCTGAAATGTGAGACAGACCCTCCTTTGCTTACACTCGCTGTGAAGATGTGGGGTTGGATTTCTGTTATTAATGAAGAGAATTTTCTCAGTGTTTTTGCTGATTTATAATGCATAGTGAGAGCTCCAGTTACCTTTCCTTAGTTTATTTTGGTGACTGTTTTTGGCATTCTGACAAATGTTTCCTGTACCAATGGAAAAGCTTTAGGGACAGAATCCAATCTGTTCTCATTTATTATATTTCTTAAATTGCATTCAGAAGTTGGTTGATCAGAACTACAGTTTTGTTGAACTTGGGCTCAGTTCATAAAGTGGGGTCTACCGCAGTGAGATCTTAATGCCCACAGTTCTGAGGCCTGGTTGATAACCTCAGGCTCCAAATGAATTAACAGTCACCAGCTTGTATTGAGATTGTAATTTGTGTTTGACTTCTACAACTGCATAAAAGAATCCAGACCAAAAAAGATCTTGTACGTTGTCCTTTGTATCTGTCCCTTCCTCTGTCAGGGAAGGCCTTTGTGTCTGCTTGCTCTGTGTGTTTGCTGGGCCCAAAACAGGTACTGGTTCTGTTAAAAAAGGCTGAGTCAGTGGTAGAAAATTCAGATGTCCAGCGGAGCCATGCTGATTTCACAACATGGGAACCTCTGGAAATATGACCTTGGTAGAGGGTCCCCTACCAAGCAAAGGGCATGTGAAACAAACGAACAAGACAAAAATAAATAAGTAAAGTTTACAACCGAAGGCCAAAGAAAACAATCTGCGTTTATGTCCTTTGACCTACGTGCCCACCCAGCTGACCCTTGAACAACATGGGCTTGAACTGTGACAGGTCCACTTATACATGGATGTTTTTCTCCAGGAAATACTGTAAATGTATTTTTCTCTTCCTCATGATTTTCTGAATAATGTTTTATTTTCTCTAGCTTACTTTATTGTGGGAATAGAGTATTTAACATCCAAAATATGTGTGAATTGACTTTATGTCATCCGTAAGGTTTCTGATCAGCAGTAGGCTATTGGTAGTTAAGTTTTGGGGCAGTCAAAAGTTATACCCGGAGTTTTGAAGTTTTGACTTCCAGGGTGGGCGTCTGCACTCCTAACTCCTGTTGCTCAAGGGCAACTGTAATTGTGGGCTGGGGAGGCAGGGGGAGTGGAGCAGCCCTGAGGATGAGGCGGTGATGGCAGTCTCCATCCTTCCTTAGGGAAGATTCCCCAAAGGTTAATACGGGACACAGGTCAGCTGGTGCTTGGGGGTGGTGATGCAGAGTGGTGGCAGGAGCTCGCGAGGGGGCATGTTCCGCTGCTTGGCCGTGGTGGGATTCCTGCAGCAGAGCCCCTGGTGACCTCCAGGGCTTGGGGCTGTGCTAGAACCAGGGAGTGTGGAAGACCTAGTAGGTCTGCGCTTCTGTTTTGCTCTGTTTCTTTTGACTGTTCCTGAAATTCAGTGGGGAAGCCGCCACAATGACTTGACCTAAAACCTACTGTCTGTGGGTGAGATGGGGGGTTGGGATAAGATTTAATGGGATTAAAGACAGTAACGTAAAGTGACATTTCCTGCATGTTTGAGTCTGTGAAGTAAAATTTATTCTTGCTTATAATAGTGAAAAATTGAATATGATTTTTTTTTGTTAAATAAGGAAGAATAGCTTAAGTAAATTATGGCACATCCATACCATGATAAATAGAACTATATTGCTTTGCAAAGATGTCAATCATGCAATTGTATGAACAGCTCAGGTTATGATACAGCAAGTATATTTTGATCCCACTTTAACAAAATGTAGGAATGTTGGCATACATGTGTCTTCCTGAAAATATGGGAAGAAAATATCTGGAAGTATATACATTAAATGTTACTAGTGGTTGTCTGTATTCCTGAGATTATGAGTGATACTGTGTTCTTATTCACTGTATTTGTTATTAATGAAAAATGTTATCTTGTTAATTCTAAAAAGAATAAAATACAATGTAAGAAACCCGAGGTCTTAAATGTATCTTTTTCTGTTCAGATGGTATTGCAGAAATATGAACAGAAGCAAAGCAGAGCAACTCCTCAGAAGTGAAGTAAGTATATTTGCTTCTTGGGTTTGGTTTCAGCACCAGTTAATTGCAATGAGTCTAGTAATTTCGTGAACCTCTGTTCCTAAAGTCCAAAAAGGTACTATGATATAAATACAGGGTCTTGTTTTCTTAATCATTTAAAAGTGAACACTGGTGTATTAGTGTCCTGGGACTGCTGTGACTAAGTACCGCAAACTGAGTGACTTAAGCAATAGACATTTATTGTTTCATAGTTCTAGAGGTGAGAAGTCTGAAATCAAGATGCCGGCTTCTGAGGGCTGTGAGGGAAGGATCTGCCTCCGGCCGCCCTCCTTCTCACCCTGCGTAGGTCTGCCTCTGTGTCAACATTTCCCTTTTATAAGGACCACAGTCATATTGGAGCAGGGCCCACCCTTACTGAACTCACTTGAACTTGAGTACTTCTCTAAGTCTCCAAATAAGGTCACATTCTGAACCTCCAGGGGTTAGGACTCCAATGGACTTTTACTAATAGGTTAAACCCATAACCGTAGGTAGTAACTCTACCTGGGTAACATTTTCTTTGCTTTCTTACTTATTTATCATTTGCTGTAGTACTAACAAGTGTTTTCCCTTTCTGCTTGAAGTTACTTGTTTTAAAATAGTTAACATCAATAGTATGTTACCAATTCAAAATCTGTGTACCTGATGATTTGAAAGGCCAGAACTTAAAACCTCAGAATTTGGAGTAAGGAAAGATTTACCAGTTGAAATGCACCTACCCAGAAGACGGGAGACCAATCCTCAAATCCATTTTAAGACAGTACAAAGTTTAGGCTTTTTTATGTCAAGGGAAGGGGAAATGGGAGGGGTTGTTTTTGTAAAACTCAGATGCTAGCAGAATTCTTCTAATGCTGAGCATGTCCCTATGCAAGACAAAGTAGAAGCCGTGGGCCTGAAGGCCGTGGGAACAGCGCAGGTTTCAACAAGACGCAGAGAGACCAAGCGTTCCACTTTGTTACAACTACCTGATAGCTTTGAGGAATACAGTTTTAATAAAGTGCCTAGTTGCCTTTAAAAATAAATGTGCTGAAGGTCTTACAGTTTTAAAGAAGAAAGCACGCCAAAGGATAAAATGTAGTATGGAGGAAGCTGTCGTGGGCTGAGCCACCGCGACCCAAGTGCAGCAGTGACTTCTCTAGTCTATTTTTTCCATACTACATTACTACTCTATAAATTACTACTCTTTCCATACTACTCTATAAAATGAGGAGCTGGGTTAGAAGATGAACTCTGTACTTCTCTGCTTTTATGCTGGAGCTGTTCTATTTACTAACGGTTCCCAGTCTTTTAAACTCATGCTTTCTCATTTTTGTCTCCTGCTTATTACCGGACTTATTACCACCAGTCAAGGTTTTGTTGGGCACTTGTTTCTGTAGTTTATGTTGAGCGAGCAAAAGCAGGTGATGTTGCTTGATTCAAGTGATGCAAAGCCATGTCACTCCCCCACAGGATTCTTACATGTCTCCCTGGTGACCCCACAGTTAGCAGCAGCTCTAGGGGAGCAGGCAGCTGGAAGACCTGGGGGCTAAATCACGGCTCTGCTACTTACCAGCTGTGTGGCCTGGGACAAGTTATCGAGCCTTTCTGTGCCCCTTTTCCTTGCCTGTGAAGGAAAGCAGGGGCAACAGCAGCCCCTGCCTCCTGGGACCGTTTTGAGGATTAAGTAAATCCACAGATTAGAACATACTAAAACAGAGTAATTTCTCAATAAATATATGGCAGCTATTATACTTTTCACTGGTTGATTAACGACTATATCATTGTCCCTACTTGTTCTTATCAGATTTGTTTGTGGGGTTTTATTTAATCCCAGTGTCTTTCTTATGAATAAGAATAAAATTTACTTTATTTTTCGACTAAGAGGAACACTTTCATCTTAAAGCAGCTTCGGCGCTGGCAGTGGACTATGGTGCTCTTGGCGGAGAGGTGTTAGAGGCTCCAAGCTGCTCTTTCTTGATCTTTGGCTTGGAACCTGATGAGGATTTATCCTTTAGTCATTTGTGTTGGTTCTTCCTTTTGGTTTTCTCTGCTTAAGTCACTTGGGCCTCCATCTCTCCCTTTGTACAGAGTGGTATTTAACAGTGATTTCCAGGGGAATTAAGGATTTTGAAAACATTCTTGCAAAGGGTGCTGCACTATTTATAGGAAAAATGTTATTTGGATAGAAGATGATAGTGTGTCAGGATCAAAGCTTATAGCAAATATTTTAAAAGTATGAAACAAAACCCAATCATTAAGCAGTACATTTTCAGTATCTGTTTCCCCCCATGTCTAGGACTTAAAGGAGTTACAGAATCTTGTCTGCTGGTTCTGAAAGGACCCTGAGAGATTCTCTTGTTGAAGGGTCTTATCCTACGGGCGTGAAGATCTGTGATCATGATTGGGGGCTTGTCAGTGAGCTTTCTTCAATCCCATGGCCCAGTAATGTCAAGTGCAAAGTCATGTGGATGAGCCCTGCTGCTAAGCTGTGCTTCCCTAAAGCAGGTTCTCTAGGGAAAGGATAATTATCAGAAGGTCTTAAGATTGGGTTCTTGAATCTTCCCCTTGGCATTGATATTCGTTAGGGAATTAAAACAATTTTGTTAACTTGGATTTTAGGATAAAGAAGGTGGTTTTATGGTGAGGGATTCCAGTCAACCAGGCATGTACACAGTCTCCCTTTATACGAAGTTTGGAGGGTAAGTAACCTCTCTCTTTCTCTTTTAAATTTATAGCTTTTTTTTTTTTTAATGAAGGTCCTATATAGTTTGTATGGATTCCTAATTTTCAAAAAATATGCTGCATTCCAGCATTAAAAAAGAAAACCTGAACTTGGTTTTTAAAGTGTACACTAATTTTTATATTCATATTTCAGTAATTTTCCTCATATTTTTCTCTCTCTATATATTTGTTGAGGGTGGCTATAGAAATGTAGGCAACATTGAACAAATGATTGCCGTGCACTGCCTTAAGCACTACTGATAGCAAAGCAGACAGACGCCCTCCGGTAGCTCGGTGGGGGCTTCAGGAAAGCAAACAGTGAGTTATGACAGCCAGCGAGTAAGTGCTGTGCTAGGAGGGCAATGTGTGTGCCGGGGAGGGTAACGGGGCCCTGGGATACGTAGGCCAGGCACCTCTGACTTAGTCATTGATGCTGCCTGGTGACATTCAAGCTGAGACATGACGGGTGAGGCAGGCAAAAGTTGGAGGGAGCGGAAAGAATGTTTCAGACCCAGGAAACTGCCTGGGCCGCCAAGCGAGGGGGCATAAGGCGGGTTCCAGGAACTCACAGGGGGAGGGGCCGGCTGAGGCGAGGAGAGAGAAGCCGGAGGAATCAGCGCAGGGGTTAGGCCATGGCAATGTCAAGGGGCCCGCGCTTTCTCTTAGTCACAGGAGTTCTCTTTAAAAGGTTTTTAGCAAAAGATGACTCCAGAAGATCTGAGTTCTAGAAAGATATCTGAAATAGATTTTATATGTTTTTGACAAGTCTAGTTTATTCACTTTTAGGGGTGTAAGTCCTCTAAACATTTGCAAGCTTACACCAACGGCAGGGACAAAGAGCAGCAGCCAGCTAAGAGTTACTGTAATACTTTCAACTGTTGGCGACTGGAGTTGGTCAATGGTCTCTTTCACAGTCTCAGGCAAGGGACCAAGAATGTTTTCAGTGACCACTTTAAAAATGTCCACCTTTCAATGTGAAAGGCAAAGAAAGCTATGGTGAACATGGGGAAAAGTAAAACTTGCACAGCAAAGGGAAGGGGCCACACACAAGGACCTGCGGGGGGCCTGGTGGAAACACCTTCAGGTGAAGCTATTTGGCTCTGACACATTTTGATTTTTGTTGCAGAGAAGGCTCCTCAGGTTTCAGGCATTATCATATAAAGGAGACAACAACCTCCCCCAAGAAGTATTATCTGTCAGAAAAACACGCATTTGGTTCAATTCCGGAGATTGTTGAGTATCATAAGCACAATGCGGCAGGTAAGTGAGCCGCTCAAACCTATTTCAGATGTAAGGTAGTGATGAAAATGACCAGACACACTGTGATGAATTCTTCCTTGAGCAGTTTTATTTTGTAGTGAGTTGTAGAGTGGGATTGATTTAGAATTACTGCATAGTAAGGAAGTGCTAGGTACGATGAAAAATCAGAAATAATATCAAATCTCATGAAAAGCTCTGGACCTTAGGACAAGAGTTATGGTATATGGTTAATGTCACATTTCTGGGGTTTCTGTCCTTGCTACTGACAAAGATTCTGTTCTTGACCAGACTTCAGTTAGACTCCTGAACCACAGGCCATCTGTGCACTCTGTTGTGAAATCCAGTGGTAGCAGAAGCCCCGCTAAGTCATTTTAACCCGAACCCCTTTACACACAATATCTGATGCCTGATCCGTGTCAATATCTGTTCATATTCCTCATCGTCCACCAATACCCAAGTGACATCTGATCACTGTGGCTTGTCATTGGCAAGAGTCCTGTTAGATAGGTTTAGCCAAACCTGCCCACTTCCCTTATTTCTGACCTCTCTCTTAGTGATTTTCCATCCACTGACCTCCACCCTGTTCCTTGGCTACAAATTCCTACTTGCCCACGTTGCATTCGGGGTTGAGTCTTGTCTCTCTTCCCCACTCAAATCCCTCTGTGATGGTCCTCATACCTATTGCAGTGGTCTTGAATGAAGCCTGCCTTACCATCTTTAAAAGTGTCATTGAATTTTTTTCCCTTTAACAGTCATAAACTAAAATCTAAGATATGTCCATGTCAGAGTTGTCACAAAGCTTTCAGACAAGCCCAGGGTCTGGGCTCAGGCTGTAGGCTTCCAAAGATGAGAGTAATCATGTCCCAGACAAGGTTTCCATCTTCCTGAAACTCTGCTGCACTCACCACCAAAGTGGGAACAAACCAAATGCCACCAACAGAACAGAAACCACATTTGTGCCCATTGAGGCTCCGCAGGACAAGATAGGAAAGATTTCCAGTCTTCGACCTCAGAGATGTAACTGAGCAGGGGGTAGCCAAATGTCTAACCCAGTTTATGGAAAATTAACTTTTGAAATTTTTTTGAAGGCACCTTTTACAAAGTTTGTTGCTATTTGTGACTGTCCACTTTTCTCAGATAATGTCTGGGACAGTTATTGAGATATAATGTATATAGCACAAAGTTTACCCATTTAAGGCATCCAATTCAGTGGTCATTAATGTATTTACAGAGTTATGCCAACTCTCACCATAATCTAAGAACACTTTCATCCTCTCCAAAGGAAGTCATGTACCCCTTCAACAGTCCAGCCCCAGGCAACCACTGATCTCCTTTGTGTCTCTACAGATTTGCCCTTTCTAGACGTTTCATATAAATGGGATTATACAATGAGGGCTTTGTTGTGACTGGCTTTTTTGACCTACTACAATGTTTTTGACATTAGTCTGTGTCGTAGCCTGGATAAGTACTCCATTCCTAATTTGATGAATAATAAATCATTGTGTGGACTTCGTTTATCCATTTTGTTTTCATTCATTAGTTGATGGAGATTTAGGTTGTTCCCCCATTTTGGCTATTAATCATGCATACATAATTGTGTACAAGTTTTGGCATGGAAATATCTTTCATTTCTCTTTGGTAATAACCTAGAAAAGGATTTGCTGGGTCATATCATAACTTTATGTTTAACATTTGAGGATCTAGTCTCCTATCAATTTATTCCCCTGAAGGACTTTTTCTTAGCTCTTATTCTGTTATTTTCTTTTTCAGTGTTTACATTTCACTATTTCTTTCACTATTATCTCAATTCGTTCATTTAACAAACATGTAAGAAGTGCCCAGTGCATACCAGGAACTGCGCTGGAGACTGTGGCGGGCTAGACAGTCATCGATTCTGTCTCCCAGGTCTTACCATCTGGCAGGGGACACAGAGAAGCATATAACAATATTGTTAGGTTGAGATATGCAGTAATAGAGGAAGTACAGTGTGCGGTGGGTATTTATAGGAAAGATACCTGCCATTTCTTCTTATTTGCTGTTGTGGTAATTTAAAGGATTTAATGTTCCTCACTGATCTTCAGTAGTTGGTATTCCCAATTGTTGATATTTTAGAGCCTGATTTTTTTAAAATTAAAAATTTGTTTATTTTTAGAGAGAGGTGAAGGGAGGGAGGATAGGGAGAGAAACATCAAAGTGTGGTTGCCTCTCGCACTCCCTCTCCTGGGGACCTGGCCCACAACCCAGGCATGTGCCCTGACTGGGAATTGAACCAGCGACCCTTTGGTTCACAGACTGGCACTCAGTCCACGGAGTGGTGCCTGGTGGCACCAGCCAGGGCTAGAGCCTGATTTTTATGCTAAGATTCCTAGTATTGCTATGTCAGGGAAATCAAAATTTATTAGATTACTGCAGTTTCCTCTCATAGTTGAGATAGCGTATTAGAAAAGAACATGAAATAATAATTGATAATAACTGTTAGAAAACTTTAACATCCTTGAAAATGTTTGAGAAGAGAATATTCTAGCATGGTGCCTGATAAACACTGTAGTGTTTAAAGAAAGTATTTATTGAATGAATAAAAGTATGTACATATATATTTAAATTTTTATGCTCCATAAAAATATGAAACTGTAGGATCATCTTCTTTTTTTATTTTTTGCAAGCGTACAGCACAGAGCTGTATGTTCACACAGAGGATGGGCACTAAGTGAATAAATGAGTGGATTGTAAGTGAGTTTCTAGTTCTGCACTTCACTGTGTAGAATGATTAGGAATGAACTTGACTGCAATACTTTCTTTGACTCCTAGGACTTGTCACAAGGCTGCGGTACCCAGTTAGTACAAAGGGGAAGAATGCGCCAACCACTGCAGGATTCAGCTATGGTAACTCATTCTGTGTTTGCATTGGCAAATTTCCTTTGGATAGAATCCATTATCACAAGGCCAGTTTAGATGTGTAGAATTCCACATAGGGTATCTGTTTTTATGAGTTTTCTAGTATGAGTTTTTAGGTGATTATACTTAGAGCTGTAGTAACCCTAGGCTTTCTGTTTCTGTCATGTTCATAATTCAGCAGAAAACTCTCTGTTAGTGAAAACACAGGCATTACCACGTTAGAGGTAAAATGAATCAGAGCCTTTTCTGGTTCTCGCTGGCTTGCTTGGTACTCATGGGAAAGTAAGGGCGGTGGTAACAGAGAAGGCATTCAACCTGATTGTCTTTGTTGCTTCTGGCAGAGGCCTTTTAAACAGCAGGTTAAATTATTTCCAACTTGCTGGAATTGTAAACAACACAAAACAACAAGAAACATTGAGGAGGGAGAAGTGGTAAAGGAGGAATTTTGAAAAAGTACCTTTAACTTGCAAGCTCTGTCATTATTAGCCTGTTATGCAGCATCGTCTTGCCTTCTTCAGTTGCTTTGCTTGTATTGTGACAGCTTAGAAAGGGGTGTGTCCTCCCAGAGGCTGAAAGCCACCATTTGTAATTTAGAAACAGCTTGCAAATTTGCTCTGTTCCACCAGTCATTGCGTTATCCTGTAACATTGGGTTATAATTCTTTGTTCCCCACCGATTTGTGCTGCGTTCTCCTTATTAAATGTTACTTTCCCCCTCTGTCTCACAGAAAAATGGGAGATCAACCCATCAGAGCTGACCTTTATGAGGGAATTGGGGAGTGGACTGTTTGGAGTGGTGAGGCTTGGCAAGTGGCGAGCCCAGTACAAAGTAGCGATCAAAGCTATTCGGGAAGGTGCCATGTGTGAGGAAGATTTTATAGAAGAAGCTAAAGTGATGATGTAAGTTACTATGTTCTTTCTGGTTCCCCTTTTTATATTAAAAAGTGGCCTCCTCACCAGCAGTAGCCTCTGTTGTTTTCTTTTCCTGTAGTAACCATGTGTGCGCATGACTTCTCTCCCAGGAAACTGACACACCCGAAGTTGGTGCAGCTTTATGGTGTGTGCACCCAACAGAGACCAATTTACATCGTTACCGAGTTCATGGAAAAGGGCTGCCTGCTGAATTTCCTCCGACAGAGACAAGGTCATTTTAGCAGAGATGTGCTGCTGAGCATGTGTCAAGATGTGTGTGAAGGGATGGAGTACCTGGAGAGAAACAGCTTCATCCACAGAGATCTGGTAAGTTATAAACCACTTGGATTTCCATTCATCGGCCAGATTCCTGTGTAGCACTGGTCAGCCAATGAGCTATAATGTGTTAATATACAATTTCTGTTCTGAACAATATTTCACTATTTTTTTTTAACTTGGTAATTTTGACTTGTGTCATAATTCTACAGAAAGATTTTTTTAATCTAATACATAATTACATAGGTAATATGTTCCAGCAAGTTATCATGCATGGATCCTTTGATCTCCATGGAATCTCATGCAGTAGCTAGCCATGACAGCATTTCTGACCAGCATTATTTTATAGATAAGAAAATTAGCTTTACAGACATGAAATGACTTGCGTATTGTAATAAATGAGAAAGTTACGCTTGACTCATTTTTAAACTAAATCCTAAACTCTTTTCCCCCTCACACACTGCCAGCCAAAGCTATGTAACAGAAATCTTTGTTTTATTTTCTTTATCTCTCAAATCACTGGGAAAAGATGGCAACCCCATGTTAATTCCTGATTTACCAGAAAAAGTGTATCTTCTATAAATGTTTCTAAATTATTGTGATGAAGACATTTCTCAATTCTTCTTCTCTCACTCTTTCACCTTCTCTCCCCATTCTTTTCTTTCCCCTTTTCCTCTCTGCTTCCTCTTCCCAAATATGTCTAATTTGAGCATGCTCGTAGAGCCGTCGGTTGCCCGCCCCCTGTAGTCACTATTTTATTCTCTGTCTTTTTGTTTGTTTTTTCAGTTTTGACTCTTATTTAGATTTCACTTGTAAGTGATACCACACGGTACATGTCTTTCTCTGTCTTACATGCTAAAGGCTCATTCATATTGTCACCAATAGCAGGGTGTCTTTCTTTCTCATGGCTGAATAATATTCATTGTGTATATATACCACATCTTTTTAATCTGTTCATCCGTTGATGAGCATTTGGGTTCTTTCCATAACTTGGCTGTTGTGACTAATGCTGCAATAAACATGGCTGTGCATAGGTCTCATCAAAATCCTGTTTTCATTTCCTTTGGGTGTATACCCAGAGATGGAATTGCTAGATCATATGGTAGATCTATTTTTAATTTTTTGAGGAACCTCCATATTGTTTTCCATAGTGGCTGGACTAATTTAAATTCCCATTAATTTACATGCATAAGCATTCCCATTTCACCACATCCTTGCCGGCACCTGTTGTCTCTTGTCTTCCTGATGATAGACATTCTAACAGGTGGAAGGAGATAGCTCATTGTGGGTTTGTTTTGCATTTCCCTGATGACTAGTGATGATGAGCATCTTTTCATCTTCCTGTGGGCCATTTTGATGTCTTTAGAAAAATATTTATTTAGGTCTTCTGCACATTTTTAAGTTGGTTTGCTGTTTTTTGTTAGGTTGTGTTAATTCTGTATATATTTTGGATATTAACCCTATATTATCTGATATAGGGTTTGTGAAATTATTTTCTCATTATGTGGGTTGCTGTCCCATTTTGTTGATTATTTCTTTTGCCATGCAAAAGCTCTTGAGTTTGATGTAGTCCAATTTTCTGATTTTTGCTTTTGTTGTTTGCAGTTGTAGTGTTATGTCCAAAAAATCATTGCCAAGACCAGTATCAATGAGTTTCTTCCCTACATTTTCTTCTAGTAGTTTAATGGTATCAGGTCTTACATTTGCACCTTTGATCCATTTCAAGTTAATATTTGTGAGTGGTGTGAGACAGAGGTTCAGTTTCACTGTTCTGCATGTGTTTCTCCAGTTTTCCCAATATTATTTGTTGAAAAGACTGTTCTTCCTTCATTGAGTTGTTCTTGGCTGCCTGTGGAATATTAGTTGACTGTACATACCAGGATTTAATTCTGGGTTCTTTCATCTGTTCCATTGGCCTATTTTTGTGCCAGTACTGTACTGTTTTTATTACTATGGCTTTGTAGTATAGGCTGAAATCAGCAAGTGTTATTCCTCCAGCTTTGTTCTCTTTTCCTTAGAATTGCTTTGGCTATGTAGGGTCTTTTGTGGTTCCACACACATTTAGGATTGTTTTTTCTATTTCTGTGAAGAATGCCTGTGGCATTTTGATGGGAATTGTCTTTCCACTTATTTGTGTCTTCTTTGATTTCTTTCAGTGAAGTCTTGTAGTTTTCATTGTGCAGATCTTCCACTTCCTTGGTTAAATTTATTTGTAAGTGTTTTATCGGTTTTGATGCTATTGTGAATGGGATAGTTTTCTTTATTTTTTTTTCTGATGCTTCATCATTATTGTAAAGGAATGCCATTCCTGCCACTTTACTGATTAACTCCAACAGTTATTTTGATTGACTCTGGGATTTCCTATATGTAAGACCATATTATCAGCAAATAGTGACCATTTTATTTTTTCCTTCCCGTTTTGGATGCCTTTTATTTCTTTGTCTTGCTTAATTGCTTTTTGCTAGGACTTTCAGTACTGCATGGATTAGGAGTAGTAAGAATGCAGCTTTGTCTTGTACCTGATCTCAGAGGAAACCATTTCAATTTTGTCTCCATTAATTATAATGTTAGTGGTGCGTTTATCATTTATGGCCTTTTTGGTGTTGGGGTATGTTCCTTCTGTAGTCAACCTGTTAAGGATTTTTATCATAAAAAAATGTTGTATTTAGTTGGATGTTTCTTCTGTTCCTGTTTAGATGATCATGTGGTCTTTATCCTTTAGTGCTGTGATGAATTACACCTACTGGTTTGCATATGTTGAACTGCCCTTGCCTCCCAGTGATAAATCCCACTTGGTCATGGTGTATAATCCTCTTCCTGTGTTCTTGAATTTTGTTTGCTAATACTTTGTTGGGACTTCTGCATTTGTATTTGTCAGGGATATTGGTCTATGGTTTTCTTAAGATGTCCTTTCTGATTTTTGTATCAAGGTAATGCTGGCTTTAGAATGAATTTGGAAGTGTTCCATCTTTTTCAATATTTTGGGAGAGTTTGAGGAGGATTGGTATTAATTCTTCTTTAAATGTTTGGTAGAATTCACCAGAGAAGCCACCTGACCCTAGACTTTCCTGCATTTGGAGTTTTTGGGTTACTGGCTCTATCTCCTGACTCACTATTGGCTCCTTCATATTTCTTGATACACTCTTAGCAGGTTGTGTGTTTCTAGAAATGTATCCATTTTTTCTAGGTAATGTAATTTGTTAGCATTTCATTGTTCAGAGTAGTCTCTTATCATTTTTGTTTTTCTGTAATAATCAGTTAAATTATCTTTTTTAAAAATTTTATTTGTCTTCTTTTTTCTTAGCTAAAGGTTTATCAATTTTGTTTAACTTTTCAAAGAACCAGCTTTTTAATTTTATTGGTCCTTTCTGTAATTTTTCTGGTCTCTATTTCCTCTCTGATTTTTATTATTTCCTTCCTTCTGTTAACTTGGGGCTCAATTGGTTCCTCTTTCTAATTCCTTGAAATGTAAAATTAGGTTATTTTAGATCTTTCTAATTTTTTAATATATGTGCTTATTACGTGGAGCTTTCCTCAGAACTGCTTTTTTTTATTCTACAAAATTTGATATGTTGTGTTTTCATTTGTTTTGAGATAATTTATTTCCCTTTTGATTCCTTTTGGTACCCACTGGTTGTTGAGAAATGCATCGTTCAGTATCCACATATTTAAAGATCTACTCACTTTCCTGTATAGTTACCTCTTTCTGTGGTGGTGGTGGGTGCTTAGTTTTATTCTCTTAGCAAATTTCAAATTTAAATAGGACTATTTTTTGCCATGAAGTTGTATGAGTTCCTTACATATTTTATATATTAACCCTTTATCAGATACTTGTTTTGCAGATATTTTTCCTATTCTGTAGTGAGGCAGAAGAGTGTGGGTTTGTGCTGGGGTATACAGTTGACCCCTGAACCACATGGGGGTTAGAGGTCCACGCCCCCCACAGTCAAAAATCAAAAATCTGTGTAAAACTTTTGACTGCCTAACATCTTAACTACTCCTGCTGTTGACTGACAGTCTTACCAATAGCATACACAGTAAATTAGCACATATTTTATATTATATGTATTATATTTCATGTGTAAGTGGACCTGTACAATTCAAACCCATGCCCGCTGTATGTTGGAGGCATTTCCATTGGTGTGCAAATAATTCGTGAAGAGACATTTCCACCCTCTACAGATGTGGACTGGGACATACTAAATTTAATATAAACAGAACTTATATTTTTCTACTTTTATCATGGAACTTTGTAATTAATACACAATTATAATGTTGTTTCCCAGGCTGCCAGAAATTGTCTAGTAAATGAGGCTGGAGTAGTGAAAGTATCTGATTTCGGAATGGCCAGGTAAGTCTGAGTATATGTGAACATTTTCTGACAGCTTTGGATTTAATTAATATGAGTCTGTGACCTTTCTGTTGGAAGTGCAGAGAGCCTGACATTTTCTTTGCACTTTGATGTGTCAGCTTCTCTCTCAAAGCCTATGTAAGAGCTATTCTGAAATCACATGTTTTGTTATGTTAGCAATTAGCAGTACCCATCATTTTTTCTATTGGAACTAATTGATTTTTCTGCTTCTTAGTGTTTTTGATATAAGGTAATAAAATAAATTATTTATATTTTGGAAGATTTCTTTGCTGAATGTATCGATTACTGTTAATTAGCTTTGGCTTTTTCTCAGGTAAACCAGTTGTTGAGAAGTTATGATTGCCTAATGCTTTATTATGTGATAGTCACATTACCTTGTATTTTGAATAAGCATGGGAATAATCTGCGCCAATGAAGTAGAAAGACAATCTTGTTAGCTAGCTGTTTTCAGACAGATTCATTGAAATAAACACGTATATACTGTGTTAATTGTTGTTAATAATTCTCTCCACTAGGTGGTGGTATAGCCTGTTAAACACACTACTTTCTTTTCTCTCTGAGGTGAACTAGATTTCTAGAATCGTTTATTTTCCCAGAAACCTGTTTGGGGATAAAGTTCTTAGAATACCCAAATCTGTAGTGTTTTCATTTTTTAAATTTTTATAATTTTAATGTGTCCTTCTTTAGTGTGTCCTCCTTTCCCTCTGTCTATTCATTCATCCATACATCCATCTATAAGAAATTAGGTGCCTCCTATGTTCCAGGCATAATGTCAGACTGAACCATAGCAGAGAGGCCCTGCCCACGTGCAGCTCACAGCCAAGAGGAGGGTGAAACCTAGGACTTGAGACAGGCAAAGAGGGGAAAACACAGAGTGGCGTGACGGAGCCGGGGGCGGCGAACTATGTCCTCCAGGCCAAATCGGACCCGTCTCTTTTTGTACGGCCTGCGAACCAACAACAGTTTTCATGTTTTTAAATGGTCAGGAAAAAACCTAAAAGAATATAACACTTGAGAGTTATCTGAAATCCAGGTGTCAGTGTCCACAAAGAAGGTGTTCCTGGGTCATGGTCTCCCTCATGAGCCTGTGTGTTGATCGTGGCTGCTTTCCCACCACGAAGGCAGAGCCGATGGGTTGGGAGAGATTCTCTGGCCTGCACGATCTAAAATATTCATTCTCTGGCCCTTCGCAGAAAAAGTTTGCCGGCCCTGATGGTAGAGATAGAGGAGTTGGGGCCATGGTGGGCGCTGAGTGATGTTGTGGGGGAGGGGTGGGGGTGGTTCCTTTAGTTCTGGTTCTCTGGAAGGCCTCTTTGAGACCCGGATATTTGAATGAAACCCAGAAGGCAGAAAGTAGCCTGTTTGGTGAAAACCTGAGGCTAAAATATTCCAGGTGGAAGAAGCAGCAAATATGAAAGTTTGAAACCAGGGACAGGCTTGGCGTGTGCAAGGAGTTGAAGGAGCCAGGGCAGCCAGCCCATTGCCAGCCCAAGGAGCGGTCCTAACGGGAGGCAAGGACCCGGTCACACAGGTCAAGTTCAGCTGCTAAGGAAATCAGGACCAGGGAAGTCAGAAAGCTGTATTTCTCTCAGAAATGGGATCAGAACTGCTGACAAGTCAGTGCTGTTTGCTTCATATAAAGATGTTCCATCTCTGACAAGCAGTCCTGCAATGTGACATGCTCAATTTTCATATGCTTGGCTTTCAGGACATCTGTGCTTTTGTATCAGTCAGCCCCTCTAAAATGCTCACTGTACACTAAATTCAGATTCCCCTGATTGACAAGTTTATCCAGCCCGCGGTGGCATTCTCACCGTTTTTGTCTATGCAGACGAGGAGGTGTGTGCGATTATTTGAATGTTTTCTCAAGGAACTTTTAGAAGTTAACTTCATGTGTTCATGTCATACACAAACACATTCCTCTTGTAAGTACATGCTGAACACATTAGAGAAAGGGCTGCCGTTCTCATATGTCCCACTCCACTCAAGGATTCTCCCAAGGCACAGCCAGTGTTATGAGTTTGTGTTCTTCTAGAAGGGATATTCTAAACATGCTCCCAAGAAAAATTATCTAGTGCTGTTTCAAGAGTATGCATGTGCGTGTGTGTGTGTTTAGGAGCATTGTCATGGTTTATAAATATATACTCCACCATTCACATATGTCATTTTACAGTTTGCTTTTTTTATTTGCTGTAGTTTGAAATTGTGCTCTGTGGAATTGTGGGGGCTAAAAGCACATGTGTCTCCAAACGCTTTTCACCACTTCCTTTAGTGCAGCTTTGCTTTAGATGTTTTACACGTGGGGCCTTTGGGTAAAACTTTGTAACAAAATAGCTTACAAAAAAAGTTTGCAAACTATTTTATTTTATTCATCCTCCATTGCCTATTTAGAAAGGAAAACAAACAAAAATGAAAGGACAGATAATAACATTACAAGCATCCATTTCAAATACTTAAATTAAGCTGAAGTGGAAATCACCAGGCGTGGCCACTGCAACAAACATTTAGCTTCAACAGGATGCTTGTTGGACTTCAGTCAACTATGTTTTTGATTCTTAGGGGAAAAAAAAATTAAAGAACATGAAGATGCAGATCATAACTCAGAGGTGTAAACCTATGATGTGTCTTACTCTAGATATGTTCTGGATGATCAGTACACGAGTTCTTCCGGTGCTAAATTTCCTGTGAAGTGGTGTCCACCCGAGGTGTTTAACTACAGCCGCTTTAGCAGCAAATCAGATGTCTGGTCATTTGGTAAGACTAATGGCCCGTTTTTACTCAGCTCTGCTCTGAAGAGGAAGTGGATTCATCATTTGGTAACCCTTACCCTTTTCCAGGTGTTTTAATGTGGGAAGTATTCACTGAAGGCAGAATGCCCTTTGAGAAGAACACCAACTATGAAGTGGTAACCATGGTTACTCATGGCCATCGACTCCACCGGCCCAAGTTGGCGTCCAAATATGTATATGAAGTGATGCTGAGATGTTGGCAGGAGGTATAGAATTTTGGGGGGCTTTAAAAAAAATCTCTAAAACGTTTATGGATCTGGGCTTGGTAGATTAATAATGTGTAATCCTTACAGCCTAGTGAGTTGGTACATGTGTTTCATGATTTCGAACTCTGTAGGAAGCCCCCTCTCTCAGCTCAGTTATGCATACTGGGGAGAAGAATGTGAAGAAGTGGAAAATACCAATAATTAAGATAATGAATTTATCTTAAGATAAATTCCCACTACCAAGTGGGAACCCTGCCACAGATGCTTGAGTTAGAGACTCAGGAAATAAGCCTGGGAAAGTGGTCCATCTTTCAGTGGGCATCTTGTGTGGCTGAAATACTACTCTTTTACCAGGCAGGATTTCTTCCTTCAAACCTCAGCTTTCTCATGTCTTTTTACTCAGTCTTTGAAAAATTTCCCTTTCCCTGTATTGAAATGTCACCAAAACGACTTTGAAAGATAATAATAATTATTATTAAAGATAATAACATTAGCTCACATGGATTATGTGCTAGACACTGTACTTAATGCTTTAGATTTAGTTCTCAAAGTAACCCTTTGAAGTGTAATTACTCTTACTGTGACCACTCTGGGTGAGAATACCAAGACTCGTGAAGCTGATGCTTGCCCAAGGCCACTTCACTACAGAGAGCCAGATTCCTGTCTGATTCCAGAGTCCATGCTCTCAGCCGTTTGCCCTAAGCCTCCTAAGAGCATTGACTGGATGGGCAGAGGCCTTCTGGCCAGCACGTGGCACGAAGGGGAGAGAGGACAGCATGAGCCAAAGGCGAGAAGGCGGTAATGAACTTGGTGTGTGTACACGAGGGTGGAGATTGGTTTGATTGGGCAGAGAGCCCACGTGAGCGTTCTTCTGGGAAATGAAATTAGGTAGCAAGGAGGGGGCGATGGGCAAATTAGCTGCACTTGAGTTTTCAGGCAACAAGGAGTTCTATCCAGTTCTTGAACGGAGACACAAAAGCAGTACAGTAGAAAGCCTAGTCTAGCGGCAGTACATGCAGGATAGAGCAAACCCATTTGGAGATGCCTGCATGTTCCAGCCCCAAAGCAATGCGTACCTTGCTCTAGTGTGCTGTTATCTGAGTTAAAGAAATCTTTTTTTTTTTTTGGAATGGATTCTGGAACCCACAGCTTCTCTTTGATTTTTAATTGTAGAAACCAGAGGGAAGGCCTTCCTTTGAAGATTTGCTGCGCACGATAGATGAACTAGTCGAGTGTGAAGAGACTTTTGGAAGATAAGGAATATTGTGACCAATGGCTTCCAGATTCCAAAACACAAGGAAGAAATGGCACTTTGTGGCTAACTTTTAATTTATTTAGCACTTGGATGTGTAGATTGTTTTACTTACAGAGTAAAAACACCTAAAGCATCTGCTTTTAGACCATCCTTAGCTCCGTAACTGAATCCTCCAGATTATGGACATGCTGCCTTAAAGATGCTGATTAAAGGCTCTCTCACCCGTTCCACAGGGCTTGAGTGCCCACTGTAGGTGCCATGCCCAGGCCCCAGGGTTTGTCCTTTGGAGCAGTGCCCATGGGGCCATGTTTGCTGGTGCCAGTGGAAGACCAGGGTGTTTGGGAAGGGCAAGGACATTAGAACCATGTTCCAGCAACCCATCTCTTCCCTTTAACGTCTATGGACATCTGGGCCTGGGGCACTGTCTAGAATGTTGTTCTGTAGGAGCCAGGAACCACACTGGATAAGTGCCCATCTTTTGTTTTGAAAACATCTGTTTTCAAGACTGCCATTAGTATTACATTACAAAATATTTGTATGCTGTATATATTGTAAATATATCTAATATATAAAGTTATATATTTATAAGAAACATGAGTTGTCCTTTAATTGAAACTTGGAATTCTGTAATATATGTCCTAACCTTCTTAGGACTTGTAGTGGTGCTTTATATCTGTCAACTCCTTTTCCCCTGGAGATCAAATACTCCTCGCTGGAGAGAAAAAAGTACGGGCCCTTCTGTTGTTAATGCCCTCCCCTCACTCAGGTAGACATGTTTGGGGGTGCCTGGACAGCAGCGGACCCCCGTGCGGCCCACGTTTGGACTAAGTGACCCCACTCATGGTATGTGCAGCTGATTGGGGTTAGGTAGAAAGTTGAACTAATGGCAGTCAGTGGGTTTCTACACAGAGGCTGTAAGTGAGGGGCTGGGCTCTAGAAGAGAAGGATTGGGTGACCTTCACAACAGAGGCTGCCCCACTGTAAGCAAGACCAGGAAAAATGCAGGGCTTGGTGTATTGAGCTGTCTCCAATGGTTTTCAGGAGGGTTTTGGACGTAGGCTCCTGGACCTGAGAGACTGTCTATCCTAGCTTCACAGTAGACCCTGCAATCGAGTTTGTTTGAGTTTCTGACTCTTAACAATCTCTGACTTAGACACCTGCTGAGTGAGAGCCTTCATTTTTCCTCATGAGCCCAGGGAAAAGAAACAGTCTCCGTCATCAATAGCAGAGCCCAGGTAGGTAGAAAGCCAAGGAAGACATGGGGCCTTTCTTCAGGGTTCTGTCTGCTCTGGGGACTGCCCTGCTGTCCCCTGTGCTGGGGAGCATCATGTGAACGCACAGCTGTTGCTGGCTTCTCTGAGCAGCACCTCCACTATGACCCAGGGGACCCATCTCTTTCATTTTTGCTCAGTCCATCCCTGAAGGCTGCCTTCTAGCCTTCCCGACTACCCTTATAAAGGAAAGAAATAAAATATCTGTCCTAAGTCTGTCACACTGTGTTCGCCACCTTCCTCCTCATCTTCCTGTTTCACTGTACCCCCGTCACAAAAACATGCACACCTTTTAACTGAATCGTGGTTCACTCAAGGAGTTGGTCATGTTGGAGTCATATGCTACTATGGTTGTCACACTTTTCTCCTTCCTCCTGCCTCATCTTAGCTCCTCCCTCTAGTCCCATCCTTCCCTTTTCACCTCGAGGAGCTGCGTTCAAAGTGCCCGATGGCACGGAAGAGAGTGAAGAGGAGCGCAGTCCTGGCAGTCACTGTTCCATTTACGGTGGATGTGGGAAACAAGGTAATTCCTGGCAACATTTGGGAACGTTTTTATTCAAAAAGCTTTAAATGTCTCACTAAAAGTTAATAAAAGAAAAGTTTTAACATAGAAGCACAACTGAGGCAAAAGGTGAAGTAAAAATAGAAGTATCCACCCAGAATGCTTAGAGATCTTAATCTCTAAGGCAGGAAATAGGAAGGGCAATGTGAATATGCTGTGTTTTCATTAGAGTTGGTCCCTTTAGTTTTGGTAAATTTTTGGTTATATTTTCCAGTGAGCTGAAGGAAAACACCTGGGTGCAGTTTTTATTAAGTCATTTTTATATTTCTTGGCCATGCTCAAGTCACGTCTTACATGTATAATTTTATTGGTTGCACCCTCCACTGCCACCACCAAAAAAAAAAAAAAAAACTCTCCTCATGTTGACCCTGAAGTGTCTGTACCGAGTGGGAGGACAGAACATTCTAGACTTTGTATTCCAAAACCTAGAATCTTCTTCTGTTTCTACCACTAAGTTAGCCTCTTATCCTCTGCTTCTATTTCCTTCTCTGTCCAGGGAGGATAGTTTGATTTCATGGTCTTTCAGGTTCCTTTTACCAAAATTTTGTGATTTCTTGAAAATGTTGTTTGCTGGAGTCGCCCACGCAGTTGGGAATGAGAAACGACTAGCCCCACCCTCAGAGATCTGGATGCAGATTGTTGTGCTTTCTTATATAGGCCATTGGGTTGTCATTCACACACTTCTGAGGTTTTAGAACAGGAAAATAGGTGGGGTTAACTTGGCCCATGAGAAACATCTTGGGTGAGCTATGATTTCAGTTGAAAGATGTGTTTTTGTGACTGGAGCGCCGCTGCAGAACTGAGGACTGTGCTGTCTGCTCCGGGCCGAAGTGCAGCCATGATTCTCTCCACCTGTAAGTGAGATGGCTTTGTCACTTATCCTCAGGGCTGGCTCTGGGCATGCTCCTATCCTTGTACACTGGAAGAAGTCCTTTCTAAGACATAGGGCTTGTGACATTTTGAGAACAATTTCCCCAGATGTGGCAGGGTTTTGCTTGTTACTTAAAGAATCATTGTGGTGATATCATTTTAGTAAATGTTCACCATTGAGAAGACAAAAGAAAGCAAAGCAAAAGCAGTGTCCTTAAATCTAGGAGTGTGTAGAAAGGCACACTCATAGATGTGAAGTTTGGGAAGTGTTTTTAGAAGGATACCTGGTGTTAACAGCTCAGGTCGGAAGGCGAGGAGCCCAAGCTCTTGTTTGAATCTGCTGCAGCCTAGGTCGGTCACCTGTGGCAACTGCTTTCTTGCACGTTCTCATCTCACCATTTTAGGTGACTCTCTTTTTGCCCACCTTCCAACAAGATATCATAAAGAAACAATAGATTAAAATGACAGGTCCTTCCTGAACTTAACTTTGTAGTTGCTTTGGAAGACTGTTCAGTCCCGTGTGCAATTTTGGGAAATGCTTATTACATTAGCTCTGTGACTCAGACGTCCTTATCATGCAAATGATTAAAACTATGGAAAAATACTAGCCTTTGATTTTAATTCTAAGGAACCAAACTTTAACAAAGCTCTGTCACATCAGATTAAAACAATCAAAGGCCAGCTAGCAAAGTTTTTGTGTTTCTGATTTTCAAGTGGCAATAGGAAAAAATGATTACAATTTAAAAATGTTATCTGCCTAGCCCTGGTTGGGTTCAATTTCTGGTCAGGGCACATACAAGAAGCAACGAATGAATACATAAATAAGTGGAACAGCAAATCGATGTCTGTCTGTTTGTCTCTCTAAAATCAATCAATAAAAAAAAATAATGTTATTTGTTCAAGCCAAATCACCTCATAAGACCCAACACTTGTTGGAAGAATTTGTAAAAAAAATAAACCAATCTATTGCAGTTGTACTGACCTGAATATGAGTTAAGGCCTTGATCCTGTCGTAGGTAAAGATGGGGCTGCCTATTATCAGAAGTGCAGTCCAAGCAGAGCAAGGCAGAAAGGGCTGAGAGGCAGCAATCTCTTCTACTTCCCCCCAGTGGCAGGGCAAAGATGAGGACTTAATAAAAATCCTTTTATTAAAAGCTATGCGAGCATCTGTTCTTCATTTCTCCTGAGGTAAGAACTGGAGAAGAGGCTATACATTATAATAGGAAGGATTCAGTTATATATAAAATAAATAATGGTGAGGGTTGGAACAAGGACTCGTGATTGCCCAAGAGATGAAATAAGTGACTACCTGTTGGCGGGGGTATTGTGAGGATCTTTCTGTCTGGCTTGGAAGGACATGGATTTGATAAACTCTTGCTGTCCTCTCCAACTTCTGATCATTTGATTTGATGGTAAGAATTACCTGTTTTCTTGTTCTATAAACTGCAGCTAGACATGGCTCTTTTTATTTTCTGGGTAAAACAGTGAGTATTTACTGCTGACAAGAAAAAGCCAAGGTAAGCCTCAAAGTATATTACTGTGAATAAAAAAAAAAAAAAAGTTTGTGTTTACCAGACCAGAGGCATTTGCCAACTCTGTTTATTGTGTCAAAGGCTGTCCTGGAAGGCTAGCCTCGCAGGCTGCCGCAGGGCAGGTGCACCGGGGGAGGTGGGGAGGTGACGCTGGAAAGTGACAGGGATCGCACGGAATGGGGGGGCGGAGGGTGCGCCCGGGGAGGCATCAGGGCGCTGCCGCAATGAGGTCCAGCTTGTGACATGTAATCCATATTGGTAGCCTTTCTACCAGCTAACAGTTGCCCGGAGAACAGACCCGGCCCAGGAGTGTTAGAGAACGGGGCCCAGGAAAGAGAGCTGGGTGTTCGACAAGCTCACCTCTTCCCGCTCCTCCACCTCCTTCCCATAGAACTCCTCTGCCTGTCTTTCCTTCCCAGTTTAGAAAGGAAAAAGACAATTTACATAAATGGCTCTTAAGTCTCAGTGTGCCTACAGCATTCCTGGACTCATCTACATGATGAGATCTGGAGGGTGAGGTCGGGTCACCTTAGTCACAGTGTCTTTCTAGGGCCTCTGTTTTCAAAGCCCTCTCGTGTTCCTTACTGACTTTGATTCCCACACCAACCCTGCTAAGTTAGTATCTTCCATCATTAACATGAAGACGAGGCGGGTAGCTGCCCGGGGCGTCTCTGAGTGGGCCCCCAGTGATGTCCGCCGGCGGCATCCACGCCCGTGCAGTCCCTCTCCTTGAGTATGAATTGGGCATCGAAACTTCTCATGAATAG